CCACAGAATATAACTTCCCATTCTTCTTTCTAGTCTCCAGAGTTATGACAAGAAATGTATTGACTCAATTCTGCACTTTATTAAGATTTTGATTTTCCTTCTTTATATGAATCTTTTATGTAATGTACTTTTCAAAGAGTAAAGAAAATAACGAAGGAATTTTGAACATCTTCCTCAAATATTTCTGTAAAAACTATAGATCATATCATATTGTGTCTTTTTCTCACTTTAGCTGTATGCCGATAGATGCGCAAAAGATCGAACAAACTTTATAGATATACATTTCAAATGGTTCACTGACTCCTGTTTCCTGGCGATAAGCGCTCTTTAATATTTGTGTGATGGTTTTGCTGCTCTATAAATCTTCTGTAATAAGGTGATCATGTTTTGTCAGGTGTTTACTGTATTTTTTACAACTATTTCGCATGGCTGTCCCAAGCAATGCTTTTCATCTTATATTCGAGAGCAATCTCTATGGCATTTGCGTCATATTCTTCGATGTTGTGAAATCTAGAGGATCGAGAGGCGAGATAGACAATTTTTCTAAAGTTGTTTATCTATGCAAGAGATACATTCTCACTACTAGAAACTATGGACATGTGATATTGAATTCAATATTTTTCAATAAATGCAGAAACTTTTCGTTGGTCATCATAAAAGATAATGTAATCATTTCTAGAAATCTATATTTCAGATCCGTTTTTTTTCTTTTTAGAAAAACATCAGATTTCATCTACTGTGATGAACTCGACAGACCAGAAAAATATAGACGACATACTAACAGTTTATACTCTTCTTATTGCTCGTTTTTCCTCTCATACCTACTGGAAATGAAAAGGTCTAGCATTACTACAGCTTTTCATTTCCAGGTTCAAATATTAATTTAATATTATTTACAAATTTGTTGTTAATATTTACTATAAATTTTAAAATTTACCTATCAAATTTATTTGTATTTAAGCATCAAAACTTCTTAAAATTACGATTTTTCTAAAGAAGTTTTGATTTTATGTAAACGATCAGGCGAAGTTTCCTCGATTTACCTGAGCTTAAACTTCGTTTATCTTACTAAGAAGTGCTCAAATTTTAATTTAGTAAAGGACTTTTGGGATTACAGAAAGTAAAGTAAAATGAAAAAAATCATTATTTTGATGGAATCATTAAGAGAAAGTTAAAAATTATTCCGCCATTTTATTCGCAGAATTAATTCCTAAACCATCCTCATTTTTCTTAATGGACTTTAAATGACAAATAATCTTTACACGAATTTTAAAATAGTCTAGTGTAATTTTATATATTCAAAATAATAAGTTATAATCAAAATTTTTCAAAGGTTAATAGTTTAAAACATTTTAAATAAATTTTATTCATATTTTAAGTTTTTAGTTTAGAATTAAGTTAATTAATTAATAAATATCATTTTATATCTGAGAATCAATAAAAAGTACATATTAAATTTAAATGTATTAATAAACATTAACTTTTTATTGATAATTTTCTATAATTTTATGCAATTTTGAAATACATTGCAATATCTTTTTAGAAAGTTTTTTGTGAATTTTCTAATAATAATATAAGAGATTTATAAGAAAATTTAGAAGATTAATATTTCTAAAATTCTTTTCTTTTCCTTTTCTTAGAACGACACTTGAAAGAGGCATTGACCATTCTATCTCTGTCAATAGAAATTTTTCTGAAAATTTATAAAGTTTATCTGAAATTATTTTAAAAGTTATAAACATATAAGAAACATTTAAAATTTCAGAGGAAGAAGAAAATGCTCTAATTTTTATTTTTCTAAAAAATATCATCAGTTTATTTATTTAAAAAAACTTCAAATAATATTACAGATTTACAGGTAAAATTTACAATATTTTCAGAAAAAAAATTACTGGAAATTTTATAAATTTCTTTAAAAATTCGTTAAGATTGTTTTTTAAAATCTTTTCCTACAAAATTTTTAATTTTTGAACTGCCTATACAAGTGTATTTTATAAAATTAATTCAATATCATGACAAGATTGAACAAGTCAAAAATTAATATGAGAAACAACATCTCGTTTAATATAATTATAACAAAGTCCAAGTCAATTTATATAAAAATTGTTTTTAAAAATGTAAATTAAATTATATTAAAACTAATTATTCATTTTAAAATAAATTTTGTAAAGAAAAACTTCAATTAGAGAAAATAGAAATTTAAGATTCTAGCAAACAAATTTTAGTTGTGTAAAGTCAGTGAAATGATCATTTATGCAAATTTATGCGATGCTAATCTACTTGTAATTCTAAAAGAGCAATCCAGTAGCTTCAAATTGCTATTTTCTGATCCTGTGAATCATCAAAGGAAGTGCTCTTGTCTCACCTAAAGTTTATATATGTATATAAGCTTATGTAAAGTATATAAACATCAATATAAATTTGCAAATCACGTATTTTAGATGAGCAGACAATTTTAACACTAATATAAGTCAATTTAATTTTATAATCAAAGCTATTTAAAGATAATTACATTTTAGGTTCATTTCCTGTATTAAACGGATATAAATTCATAAAGGAAGAGAGTGTAATTACGTGTAGTTTTCAAAGTAAATAATCTTTCAGCAGAGTAATATTAATTTTATTTATTAATTTTAATATAATGTTAATTAAGTAAATACAGTTCATCTGTTATTAATAATTAATTTGTATGTCTGAGAATGTAAACAAATTTATAATTTGTATAATTACAAGATTTTTATAAAGAAAAATTAATTTAAAATATGTTAATGAGATATTAACAATATTTTTATACGAGGAATAGTGTAATGATTGGTTAATTAACGGGGGCTATCCGAACACGAGGAAAAGATGAACTGAACATAAAATAATATAAAAATTAAAAAGTTGGCATCAATGTTATGTTACATCATTACAGTGTTAACAGGACAAAATAACAGGTTAGATTTTTAATATGATAAACCATTAGATTAGACTATCAACTGATATTAAAAAAATTCTGTTTTTTCTAATGGGACTCGCATACACACTAAAATTTAACTTGTGTCTGAGATTATCCCAGTCAACTCTACATTTTGGGTTATGCGACCGAACACAATTACACCTATTACGAGTAAGCTTGACCTACAATTAGTCGACTGGAATAGAGAATAATTGCCTGTAGCGTAATGCTATTGTTAAATTACGGGTTTAGACTAGGTTCGAATTTGGAGGATCTTACAACCTGGCGATCTGATGGACGGAATAACAATGAAAATAAAATTTTAATATGCAATAATTAAAAATGTATTTAAAAGTACATATTTACTCAAAAATTTATTAAGAATTTTATGAAAAAATAACTTTAGTTTTTCAATTATTTAAAATACTTTCTATTTCATTGCCAGTTTTTTTTCCTATAAAATATAAAGATAATTTTATGTTGTGCACCTTTCTATTTTATTTTTAATTTTAAAAATAGGTTTCTGTTTTAAAGTTTAAATGTTTTTAATTACAATAAAATTATAAATTTATTAACTAATATAATTGTTCATTTATTACGTTAAATGACTCTCGTTAAATGTAATTAGATATCAATTTATAAACTACAATCAATAAAATGATATTGACAATACAATTAATTTATTGTTTTTATGATAATTTGAGATAAAATTATCTAAAAATTTGTTTACAAATTAAAGAATATTGGAAAAGTTTTTATTGATGTTGGAAACAACATCAATTTTGTTTAGTTTCTGTAAATCATTAGGGATTTCTCTGTAATTAAATGGATCTATAATGGTTCTACAAGTATACTTCATTAAGAATTTGTCATTAAATAATAAAAAAATTTGGATACTTGTCAATAAAACAGAATAACATTCATTTGTTTATTTGAAAAATCATTTANAGCTAGAATTAAAATGTTAGAGAGAACATTTACTTTTTGAAATAATAAGACCATTTGAAAAAATCGAATTACTTTTAAATAAAATTAAATAAATAATTTTTTATAGAAGATAAATTCATAATAATTGGAATCATAATGACCTTAACTCACAACTCTATTTACTAAGATTATGAATGTTAAAAGTAAATTTAATAATATAAATAGAAAAATATTTTAAATAAATTGAAGAATATGTATAAATTTAATAAATTAAAATATTTTTATTAATGAATTAAACTAATAGGGATTAACGAAAAGTTTAATAAATGAAAAGTAAGCTTATTAAAAGCTTGCTAATTCGAGATATCGATAATCTTAAATATGTATAATGATTAAAAATAATAAATTTCATATATTTTCTCATAAAAATGTAATCCGTGTCAAACTTAAAAAATTGCAGCTGCTGTATGAAGAATCTTCAGCCGTAGCTTCAATTAGAATATTATAAATAATAATTGAGTTATAATAAGATTTTAAAACGTAAATATTCAATTTAGTTATGGATAAAAGAATTACAAAGCTTTAAATTTGTTTACTTAAAAAAAGTACAAATTTAATAAAAATACTTTTAAAAGAATTCATACATTAATGATATGTAGATTAAGTTCATTATTAAGAAAAATTGAATTTCTTCGAACAAATCTTTGATAAAATCAAGATATGATGAAATTATAAGAATAGTAACTTTCTTTAATACTCCGAAAACGTATATAAAAGGTTTTCTTATGATAAATCATGTATAAATCTGTTTACATTCAATCAAATCAAGAAATCTGATTCCAAGAGATATATCTAAGATTATTTACAATCGATTTTTCAGATGTAATTTATTGTTGGATTTTCTCTAGAATGATTACTAATGAATGGAAACAGTTATATAGATTATTGAAGATTTTTATTAAATTATATTTTGAATAATTGTATAATTAAGAGAATTTTGCAAGAGTGACAAGAATACGGATTTATAAATGCTCTTTCTTACATTGCATCCGAACTAATATGAAGATAAAGAAATAATGTTTTAATTTAATAGCAAAGCCAGAATGAGGTATAATCTTGTTAATTTACCAACCGTACAGTCTTCTGGCCAGCAACAAGAACTTGCGTTATGAAATGAATTGTGACATTCGATCCTTCTTCATTATCCATATTGCTGTTATGTTCCTTGCTGAATGTTTATTTCTGTTGTATTCTCTGTTGAATAAAATTGTGTATCTTAGAAGAAATAATAAACATAAAAAGAAAAAATTATTTCTATTATATAAATAAATACAAACAAAATTAAATTACCTCATATATTTTATTGAATACAGTTTTTATAATATTCTAAATTGTTTTGAAAATTATTGATTTAAAAACCTTTATTTTTCAAAACAATTTAGAATAATATTCTTATATAATTTTTTATTTATGCAAAAAATTGTTTACTACTTATTTCAAGTCTAAAGAATTTTTATAAATTATTATTTTATTATATTCTTGTACCACATAGAATTAGAAAATTGGATATTCTAAATTTGCATTATTTTAGAATTACAAGTACAGGGATACTGTATAAGCCTATTATACTATAGTATAGTGATAATAGTATAATAAATTACCAACCGATCGCCTAAATATCGGGCTATAATTAAATGATTAGAATAAAGTAATTTGACATTATGTCAAATTACTTTATTCTAATCATTTAATTATAGCCCGATATTTAGGCGATCGGTTGGTAATTTATTATACTATTATCACTATACTATAGTATAATAGGCTTATACAGTATCCCTGTACTTGTAATTCTAAAATAATGCAAATTTAGAATATCCAATTTTCTAATTCTATGTGGTACAAGAATATAATAAAATAATAATTTATAAANTATTCTAAAGTTATTAATAATATAGAATTGTATTAAAACTATTGATGACCTAAATTTATTTAAGGACTATCAAAATCCAAGTTTATTCAAAATCAATGAATAATAACTCCTACAAAATTAACGCACTAAATTCTGTAGGAGTTATTCTTAAGAGCTATTATTTGTATTCCAGTTCTTGCATTAGCAGTATTGTTTTATAATTTTTAAGTGTTTGCTACTCTACCATACCCCTAACTCCAAAACTACAAGAACTTCTATCTTTAAAATTTTCTGGAGAAAACATTAACAAAATATTATAAGGAAAAATTAATATTAATTACTTCAGACCTCTGTGGGTTCTAGGGAAACTAAAAGGACACGGATTCTTTTTCTTACTAAAAAAAAGTTTCAATGTTTCCAAGTTGAGCTTGGAAGCATTGAAACTTTACACTGATAAAATTGTTATTTTCAATAACTATATGATCAATTGCCATGTTCACATAATTATGGAAAATAAGTATGTGAAACTTTATTCGTAGTTATTGTAAATAAGGTTTACATTTAGCACGTAAATAATATATTACCGGGATTTCCTTTTTATGATAAATGTCTTCGCACCTGTCTCTCCTCCTGTTGACCTAACCAATTATTTCAATCTTCACCTATTCAAAATTGCAAAACACCAGATAAGTGTATTCACAGGCTTGTAACAGTGCATATACTAATACAAATATATGACTACAATAAAATAAAACAAAAAAGTCAGATTTCATCTCCTTAAAAATTGTCAAATCAACTTCAAAAGTGATTTTTTTCAAATTATGAAAACGCGTCTACAGAAATGGCTTCTAAAAATCTTCATAGGGCTTCTTAAAAAGGCATTTCAATCAAACTCAGCACACCCTATCATATGTTAAAATCCATCTACTTTCTGATCAACAATTAACACGTTAAAAATCATAACAGAAAAGTCAATAACTATATTAGTTTAGACATTTGGTGCAAATTTTTCGGAGAAAAGTATTCATATTTCACAAAGTTTCTTATTTCTATACCTGTTTCATCTTCAATGAATGACTGTAAAAAAATTCTTGCCAAGATAAAAAATAAAACTATGACTTTATGACTAGGAAGTATTTAATAATTTTATTTTTACAGTTCTGTTTAAATTGGCTTCTTCATAATTCCATAATCAATTCCTAAAAATATTTAATGGTTCCTTTCAAACTGAATTTGTAGCTCTTGTCTAGAATTTCATCAATTTCAGCATGATCTAGAAAAACAGGCTTCCAGGTTTCTCTGAATCCAAAAAATTATAGATCGATTGCCCTTCTGTCAATCTACGCAAACAATTTCAAGATTACTAGCACTAAAATTTAAAGATTAGATGGAAGAAAATAATATTTTAAATAACCTACAGTTTTTCATGCCTGACAGTTGAAGAGCAGAAACTCTAATGTGTTTAATGTGCTTTATAAATTTTCAAATTTCAATAAAACAGCAAAAACTATACCCATGCTTTCTTGATCTAAAATTGGACATCTTCAATTCCTATCAATCTCCAGTTTATGCAGCAAATTCCTTTGTTATTCGGCTAAAATATTGTTATTACAAAGTTACCATTACTGTCTCATCTGTGAATTGAAACTTTATAGTTTATATCATATACGATTTGAACGTGCCAATTCTCAATTTTTTCTAATAAACTTTACTTAAAATTCCTAGTGAAGTCCACAGACATATTTTGTAATAATTTCTATAATAACTCTACTCCGTCTATTTGGAAAGTTAAAAATGCGTTACTCGAACTGTCTCCTTCGGGCAGTCTCCTAAATCTTAATTAAAATGTTCAAGTCATTTTGTTTTTGTTTATGTAAAAAATTATATTGTTTATTAACTGTTCACATCTCATCTGCAATTGTCAATTTAAATTGTATTTCTTCTTCAATAGGGTTTGCCTTAATAGTTTAATAAAGCACATTTTATTTTATTTTAATGCCGCTTTATTTTTATTATTTTTTACTACTTTCTATTATGTTAAAGTTAAAAATTACTATAAATTTTGTATAAATTTTAGAATGCTGTAAGTNATAATATTTTAATTTAAAATATATGCTCTCCACCTCAAATTAGTAGTGCTTTGCCCATGTACAGTACATCATACTTTTCCTTTAAGAATAGAGACGTGTCCGCCATCTATCTAACTCCTTTCAGAGGGAACTTTTCATTGAAATAACGTGACTTCCGGTTTTTACATAGTTAATCGGGGCCTCCTGCCCCTAAGCTTTCCATATCTGTTCTCGTCTTTCATTTATCTAACTTCGTACTCGATATTAAGGAAAGACAAACAGTGGGAATTTACAGGTCTACAAAGCTTTCAAGTTACAGCCCAATAAGGGATTGGATGATAAAAAAGTTTTTGAATGATATAATCACCATTTTCCTTAATATTTAAAATTTTTCCTTTTATAAATTTGTTTGACAAAACAGAGTCAACGAACTAGCAAAATAAAAATATATCCAAAAGTAAAATTTGTTCGATAAATAAATATCTTTACTTTTAGTCATTTCAAATAAAAATATTTCAATTTATTTATATTTTTCAAATTCAAATTTAATCTTTTAGATTTGAAAGATATACATTCAGAATAAGAAAAATTAGTATAAATTATTTAAAATAATTTCGAAATTTTATGGTAGAATAACGATAACATTCATTTTTTAATGTACAGTACTTTTTAATCAAAACTAAATATTACTCAAAAAATTAATCTAAAAATATTTAAAAGATCATTTTTATATCTATAAGCATAAATATCAAAAATCAAAAAAACTCTACGTTTTATCAAGCGTCTAAAAGTCCCAGTATTGATTAATTAAATTTATATAAACAAATTTATAAATGCCATATTAAATTCGAAAAATGTAGAATTTACAAAGGAAATAAATAAATAGTTTCAATTAAAAATGGCTAACGATATTTACAAAGTTTGTTACTGAAGATTGGACATCACAAAATGTGAATCTATTTTAGTTTCTTTTACGTATTTTTACTGAAATAAATAAAATTTATATACTTATAAATTTAATCCATAATTCTGTTATTATCATACTTTATGATGACCAAAAATCGTTAATAATAATAAAATTAGATATTAATAACTAATTATACAAAAAGAAAATAAAATACTTACTAATTTTTGCCGTCATATACTTGCTTTATATTTAGGCTTACTTAGTTACTCCTATTATTTGTTATTAATTTTTATTTTAATAATCTATTTTATGAAGCGCAAGTTTGTCAATCACATTTCTTTAAAATATTCCATAAAAATGTAGATAATTTATAAATACTACATAACCCCTGACCAGGGTTGTCGAAAGGAAGAGCTGGAGCTTTTTTCTAGGAAACTTGGGAGCCAATAGTGGTTCCTACCACTACGCACTTCATTTGCTCAGAAAAGGGGCAAAAGGGGCCCGCTGTATCCCTGCGATCCTTACTAAGCTTTCGATAGCCTTAACCCTGACCAAATGCTATCCAAATTCGAACCAATATCGAGAACAATAACAGGACATTTTAAAATATAGGCCCTATTCTATAATATTCATCGATTTTCTTTAGTTTCGTGATTAATGATTGTCTATTTATATCATACTTCCGAGTATATTGATTTTGAAAATCATTACTATTAATTCAAGAATATTTAAATTTATTCATTTTATAGCCAATATAATAGATTTATTCGATTGATTTCTCATTTATATCTTTTATTTTTCAATATCAGTCAATAATAAAATGACATTATTTGTTCAATATCGATCATAATAGTCTTGTTTACTAACAAAGTGCCTTTAGGATATACAGTATTTTCTATCTGAAATGTAACGCTCGCATATTAATTCTTCAAAGTAAATCTCAGAATTGAAAGATAAAATCCTCTTAGTTTCTAAATTTTTCATATTTTCTTTTTCTAGATTTAATGTATTTTTAGAAGCATTAGAATCAGGGCTTGAAAATATATATTTTAGCTAAATTAATTAAATTGGGTTTTTCATTATAATTTTATTAAGTTAAGCTACATTAATTATGCATTTTAAAATCTTAGAATACAGCAGAAATGATAATTTCTATGAAATACTTCTCAAAATAATTTTTTCAAAAATTATTTAATTTTAAAAATTGATTAAGGTTACTTTTCATAATAAAAACTAAAATAATGTAAAAGTAATTATTCAAGTATTCTCAAATATTGCATCAGAAAATAGATATTTTACAAAAACTTAATAATTATTTAGAACATTTTAATATAGAATATAGAATACTTTCAAAAAATTTTTTTACTTATTTAGATAAACTACATATTAATCTTAAAAATTACTACAGATATCATTAGTGTTACTAGAACTATAACCAACGTAACTATTAATTTAGTATTACCTAACTATCACTAAATAACTAAACTATTAAAATATAAAAAATGTTTCTTCTTAAATGAAGTTAAGACTATTTACAAAAATATAAAATTTTTGAGTCTATCTTAATCCTTTTTTACACCACCCCAGAAGTAACAGTCAACATGGGTTTTTTTATTTTTGAAGAATATACTTCTTAAAAACAAAGGTAAATAAACAGTAAAAAACAATTCACAATGTTAAAAACGATCAAGTGTCAGCCTTCTGTTTTAGGATCTGACACTTTACATTAAAAACATGAAGAATTCTTCTCACCACATTGTCCTTATCCATTTTTAACTGCTTCAGGCCCTCTGGTGGTAGTTACGAGTTATCCTTACTTAATTTGCATATGGATACAATTTACAAGAAATATAATTTAAGAAGAAATATAAAAATCCTGAGTAATTACAGAAATTGTATCCATATAAAAAATGTTTTAAAATTCTGTCAAAAACCGTCGATTAGCTTTTAAATAAATCAGAGTTAAAGATTAGAATTTAACTAAAAAGTTTAATATTCAAAGAATTCAAGATTAATAGCCTATGATTATGTTTCTCGCAAAGAATAGGATATTAAAATTCGATTTCTTGTAATAGATTTTTCGATAATATCTAGATACGGTGAATTTATAAGAATAAAACTTTGTTCAACATTCCAAAAACTTGCATCAAACGTTCTTATTCGATAAATCACGTGTATAAATCTGTTTACATTCAATCGAACCAAGAAATCTGATTCCAAGAGATATATCTAAGATTATTTACAATCGATCTTTTAGATGTAATTTATCGTAAGATTTCTTTCTAAAAAGATTACCAAAGAATAGAAACTGCTGTACTGTTTATTTTCTTACTACTAAAGATTATATTTAAATTATATGCTTTAGTAATTGCTTAATTAAGAGCTAATTATAATATTTACAAGAATAGAAAACTGTCAATTCAGTTATTCTTTTTTATCTTTAAGCACTAAATAATAATAACAGAAAAAAGTTTTTTTATTTCAATAGCAGAAATAGAAAGTGATATAATCCTATTAATTTATCAACATGGCAATTATCTGACCGATAACAAAAGCTGGCATCATGAAATGGATTGTGACGTTCGATCCTTCTTCATTATCCATGTTACTGTTATGTTTTTTGCTGAGTGCTTAGTTCTATTTTCTTCTAAATAGAATTGTTTACATTGAATTAAACGCAAAACCAA